TTGTTTCCTTCACCGTTTTCAAGTCAATGAATAACTTGCCTTGTGTAACTTGCCTTGAAAAATTGCTTATGTGCTTCTTTCGCTGTTTCAGTTATCTGAATGCAATTCGACTATCTTTGCCAAGCAGATGGCTACTATTTGTCGCGCTAACTGTCTCTTAGCGAAAGAAAACCAGTGTTTAAAGTTGTATAAAGAGATGTATGCTAAGGCGTTCCAAAGTGGTCTGTGTTTAGAATCCGATAGTTTCGGGGCTAAAAACTAAAGAACCGGTAAAAAAACTCTTTTTCAATTAACCAGAAAATTGAAGTAGCGGTAGGAATGCTGTGTTTTTTTTAACCTAGGGATTAGAATCGAGAGAATCACTCGGTTATGCCGAACCAAAAAGGAAAGGCAGGCTCTTATGGGTGTTGCTTGATGGCCAAACCATTGCCGTGTGTTCAATTGTGACTATTACATGAAAGGAGGTTACAGGCGACGCAAATGTGTAGGAATGAGAGCGCTGCGGGAAATATCACCCAACGAGGAATTTGGAGTAAATTACAACCAGGATGCGTTTGGCAAAGGAAACCGAGATTGTTTGTGCACAAAATCTAATTGTGATAGAAGCAAAGTTGACAATAGACCTACATTAGAAACAGGTTGCTCCAGTTCACATGGGCTGATTGCAAAACCAAATCAAGCCCGTAAAAACCAAACAAGGTTGTAGATCAATAACTCGGACGATGGTGAACGTTTGTTCAGTTTTTATGCGTCAGCAGCTTGTCCCTCCGTTTCTGAGAACTTGTTTGCAGTTTCTGATAATCAAACTGAATTTAATGATTTGGTTGAAATATCAATTGAAATGGAAGCATAAAAGCTACAACCGATGCTTCTGATGAGTTTTTGAACGATTTGTTGAAACGAGATAAATTGATTTTCCATGATTAATTCTGCTCGCCATTGAATCGAAGGAACAGATAAAACAAGGGGCAGAGAAAATCAAAAGTGTGTGTCAGGAACATGGACAGGGTTACATGGTGTTTATACAGTTAAAGTCAAAGATTTATTCACCGAACTTTGAGAAACCATAATAAATTACTCAGCCGAAAAACCAATCGAACACGACTTTCCTCAACATCTGCTCGCTTTTGAAAAAGACAAGTGCATAAAAGATAATTGTCAATAGTGATGGGGTAAAGTTCAATAACTCTTTAGCGCAATCAATATGGCAAATTTGATTAGCCATTGCGAATTTGCCTCCAATCAAACAAGCGGAATACGAATTGATTCTAGCAAACGTTTATTATGGCAGCGGAAAGCCTGAGTTCAAGGAAGTTTTCGCAAAAATTTTCAGGAAATTGAATATAGAGAGCTTGGCAGAAATGATACTGGACAGAGGGCTTTTTCGATCCAATTCGAACCAATTTTTTTTTGTTGCGGATTTCAAAGCTAAGAACGCCATTCTAAATATGAAACAGTATAACGGCTTCTATGGGTGCAACATTCGCGATTTGCGAAGCAAGCATGAAAATGGCGCGCATAAGTACTTTAATGAGTCTAAAAAAGTTACTCGGACAGCCGACTCTTATTTGAACTCTTTACAGGCAGCCCTGGACAGAAATTGAGAAAAGCGAAAAATCAGAAACACAAGTTTCTGATGACGAAAAGTAAATAAAGGAAATTTGGGCGCGAGTAAAATTTATTCCGTAATAACGTATGTGCCTCTGACTGCCCCATGCATCAGTTGTTGAAAAAAGCCTGCTCTCATTTCGTTGGGTTCCTTTATAAAAGATTGCCACATAAAGAGAAAGATGAAATTAACGAGGGAATAAGTCAAATCAAAACGCCGCTTGAATTCAAAAGAACAGTTCGATCGCTTGAAGACCGCGCCCTTTTCAAGGCAAACGAAAGAAAAGTTCAAGCCCTATTTTTACTCCTCCTTGTTATTCTGTCAGCCCTAAAGGGCGAAAACGAAGACTCGGTCTGCGACGGTTTGAGAAAGCTTGTTTAAGCGATGAGAACATTGTACGAAACTAACAAACACAGCCGCTTCTGTGGTGCCTTGTAGAAAGAATTTTGCAAAAGTATGGTAAAAAGTATAAAGAAGATAAATTCGACCATAAAATTTACCACCTTCTCCGGCATCTTGGCTGGCAAACTGAGATATTCGGGCCTCTGGGAAACGTCTGCTTCCATGTTCGAAAATAAAATTCATTACCTGTTGTCTGCATTTACTGGAACTAACAATCATTTTAGTATACTTGTTACCAAATATATCAGAAGTAAATTCATAAGGAGAGCAGTCATTCTTGGAGATTGCCGATTTGGATCTGACGAACAAAAACGATTTTGGTTTTCAAAAAAGATTTTGGTTTATTAGAAAGCGAAGAAGTCAGATAATTTCGGGAGCAACATCCAGACAGCAGAATTTCTGTCGAGACACTTCGAAATTGTATCTCATTTCGTGTGCGTACAGTCGATGCTACGTAGCCTTTAGAGTTGATGGTACTACAATTGTAGGACGCATTGATTTCTTCTTCAGGTCCTTGGTTGAGTGCTGCTCAGCCGAAATTTTCGAAATTCTGAAACAATTTTAGTAGATCATCAAATTGACGATCCAGAGCTGTTGCCTTTTGGATATACATCGCTGAGCCAACTGCAAGAAAATCAGCCTTTCCCATTGCTTTGATGTCTCATAAACTCTTTCCCGTGTATCATAAACATCAACTTGTTTTGATCGATATTTTAAAAATTTTGAGCACGACTGATATAACTCTCTGGAAGAAATAAGAGTATCTTATTTTACATTTTTGCAGATGTTCTTTGAGTTAATGCATTTATGGTTAAAACTTTTTTGATAATTTATGTTTTTTAATTGACAATTTCATTTTCAGTGTTTACTTCGGATCATATCTTGGGCAAAAAAGAGTGTAGACAAAAACCACATGAAGTCAAGCTGGTTGAGAGTCTAATGATTGGCTATGGCTGCTCCGAAAAGATGAAAAGGCTTTTTTGGTCTGATAGTGAGAACAAATAAAGCTTAAATTGTTCCCCGATTTTTGGAGGTAATTCAGATTTTTTTTAGATTAAGGCTTTTTTATGATTTAATGTCAACCAAATTGCTCATATGGTGCCAAGCAGAGCCTAAATTTCTAAGTTTGCTGCTCCGAATTCATCAAAAGAATTTTTTGGTTTTTCAGTTAAAACGCATCTGGTTTTCATTATTTTCTGGATAACACTCGAGGTAAAATTTTGATTTTTTGAGATAGGATTTTTTAATATTCAATATCAATCAGTTAGCTCAACTCCACAAAACAAAAACCTCTCTATTATGTCTTTAAAAGACTTTCGCGACCAAATTTTGCTATGTCCAGACTTTCGCGACTCATATCCAGACTTTTCAGACCTTATGTTCAGACTTTTCAGGCTCAACCTCTCGGCCCGACTATGCAATTTGGGTCTGAATCCGGATGCGGCGCAAACGTTGGCGCGACTTATGTCCAGACTTTCGCGACCCAATTTTGGTATGTCTAGACTTTCGCGACCTATGTCCAGACTCTGCGACAAAATTTTGGTATGTGCAGATTTTCTCGACCCACGGCGCGACTCATGTCCAGACTTTCAAGAATCAAACACTCGGCGCGAATATGCAATTTGGGTCTGAATCCGGATGCGGCGCGACCCTCGAAGTCTGCCCATGAGTCTGGGACCTCGACCCGGGACTTGCTCAGTCGTATACATCATATTACTTAAACATCAGCACGCAACACATTCTGATTATCTGACTTCGCACCGGACGTAAGTGTGCTTCGTATCTATTCCACACTCTTACTCGCGTTTCACCATGATGCAACCCAGTTGATGTTGGGATATTTTGAAGCTTTTTAAAACATTTATTGCTTCAACTCGTTTTCATCAATTGTTAACCATCAACAATTTTTTCGCGTATTTCCCCCTTTGTCAACTTCCCTCCTTTGCAGTCAACTCAACTAGGCAGTTATACTATTTAACTTGCAAGTTTTATTTCATCTAATGCCGTCTGTTTTTGTTGCTAGGCAGTCCGAGACAAAAAATCCCGTTTTCACTATTCACACTTGAATTTTCAGGTGGCTATTCCTTTTTTGGCATAACGTTTAATTTTCACTTTTAAATTACCCAAATCTGTTTCTTATTGACTCCAATGATTGATTTTATTCAACATGGATTTGCAACGATCACAGTGCTGAAGTGGCGAGGTTCCGCAGTGTCTCAACTGTTGGTTTTTGGGAGTCTGGCTGATACGGCGGGCTATTCTACCAATACGTGACCAATTTCAAGGCGGAGGAAGCTCAATAGTAGTTGTGAGTTCTATACAAGTTCTTGGTTCAAATCAAACCAAGATTTTATCAAACTAGTTTTTTCTGCACAAATGACGTTTTCACAACCGCGAACCAATATCATCAATGACCACTCTGGAGCAAAATCTAAATGCATTCACCAACAAACTGTCTGAGAACCTGAATAAGTCGAAGGCGACAGTCAATTCGCCGAATTTAAAGGTTGATAACAGAAACGAAACTATTCTGCAGTTCGAACTTGGGATTTCATAAGTGTTCAAGCGCTATGTCATTGAAAAGTGTTCAAAAGGAAAAGTAAGAGCCTATTTTATTTTAGCTTACTCACTTTTTGTGATAGATACCTAATCAAAAAATCATTCAAGGGAAGATGGACGGAAACGCCTTGTTTTGAGCAGATGGAGGTGCTCGATGGAACAGGGAAAATCTATTGATGGTTAGCGAGCCATGAGTCAAAAAGCATGGCAGAAACAGAGGGCAGTTGACGTGGGCAGCCAATCAAAACTTAGCAAGAGATCTCTTAGCCAAAAAAAACCAATGATTTTTGCAGACCTACGTGCATGAAACTTAGGCGTTCCCCCACCTAGGTGAATGAAACTTAGGAGTTACCGACCTCACATGACCATGATCTTTATGGTGTAACCAGTGGTAGACAAAGTTATAGACCAATGTTTGTTATGGCTCAAACAGTCCTCATGTCAATTTTCATAACAATCGGAGAAACTGAACAAGCATTTAAACTTCTGAAAAATTGAAGGTGGGAGAAGCCGATCTTTTGCTGACGTTGTATCCAACTTTCTCGTGAGGTTGCCTATCAATACAGCGAGGAGGGGGTTAGTGTTGTGTTAGGGCGGGGTGTGGAATTTGAAGGTAGCAGCACTACTGATTATAGTTTATAAGTTGTTTTCAAAACATACATTTGTCTGTTTCTCTATTTATACTGTCTACTTGTTTCGGATTTGGTTCACATCTCTGCCTTCCACTGTTTCAGTATCTGGGCAGCAGTGTCAAGTGTCTTTTTGTCTTTGATGAAGCAGAAGCGGAGGTACTTCTCTCCTATGTGCTTGTGATCCTTGCTGTAGAACGCAGACACTGGAATCGCAGTCAGTTTCTTTTCCTTGATTAGCCAGCTGAAATCAAGTTCACACTCTCGGTTCACAGATTTTTTATTGAAGGAACGACCTTATCCCATAGCTAGTCCATGTCATTTTTTTACTCTTAAACAATATACCCAAAATAACAATTTATCGACCAGCAAAAAGATCAAAGCGTGCGGGGCAATAAAATTTTTTCATTTTTGGTCTGTGGGGTGAGGCATAGTCGGTAATAGCCCATTGCTTTTGCATTTCATGGTCCACTTTAACATTTGCTAAAGGTTCTTAACGTATTATCATCATAGACTCGTTGCTCCGATCATTCCTTCATTCAAATGACAAGTCTATTCTGGCAACGTGTGACAACATTACGAGGCCAAACTGTGCACTGGATAGGCGCTCAATTTTGTGCCTGTATGTTCCTGGATTCCAGAGAAAAGTCTTTCAGCATGTTAAAATTTTGACGGAACGATCAAATAAAAAAAGGGAGCGTCCTTGTCGCGTAATCCGCTTTTAATTCACAAAACGCACAGGTTGGCCTCGTAATGAATTTAAAAGTAGATAAATATTAAGTAGACAAACTTCACTTACTAAACAATTTTAAAGTCCATTGCACTCGTGTCATTCGAGTCTGTGTCTGGTAGACTGATCGGCAAGTCAGAGTATTCGGCCATGACGAAGTAGCCCCCTTGTGGCAGATGAGGTTCGAATCCCACCTCCTTCAAAGACTCAACCAGCATGTCACGAGATTCCTTCAGTTTCCACTTGATCCACGTGAAATATGACTCATCACTACCCATCAGGGAAAGCTGAAGAGAAAAAACATGAGATTATCTAAATATTTTAGCGAGTGACTGAACCAAAACTTGATGATCGGCTTTAAAATGAGAACGTAGCTAACAGACAGTTGCAAAAGAGCCAATGAACGCAAGTATACAGAAAAAATACTGACTTATTTTTTGAAAAAAAAAATCTTTCGAACTTCAAAAAAAAAATAGATGCCCTTAAAGCTCTTTGAATTTCTAGAACATTTTATGATTGCCACTTTTTTGATTTAATTGACCCAATTTGAGAACTCTGGATCAACAGGTAAATTTTTCATTCCGCTGGGAAATTTGAAAACTAAATTCCACTTTCGAAACTAGAGGTCGATCACGTTTTTGAAGATCTTTACATTTTTTGCTGTTCAATAGTGGAGTTTGTCTTCCTTTTAACAAAGGAAATGAACTGAACTTAAAAATCAATCTAAAGTCAAACCGCGAAAAAGGACTTGAGCCTGAAGAAAAAACGAAACAAAATCTCCGCGACCCATATAAGAGTCTGAACTACGTTCCTCGACTCTTAATAATAATTAAGAAGATTTTCAGAAGGTTTCAGAAACAAATGTTGGCTCATTTCCATTACCTACCCCCCCCCCCCCCACCAACCCGCAGATTATGCATCCCATAGACGAATATTCATACTGTAGTCCAGTGTGGGCTATAATTTTACTAGGTGAAGGGAAAGCCCAAATACCCTCTGTCGGTCGTTCGCTTCTTGTCTGCCATAATTTGGCGTCTTTTCCATTTTAACCCTTTCTATTTTCCATGAGAGGTGAAAGTGAAAGAAAAAGGAACGTATTTAGTTTTCAAAAAGGAAAATTGAGGAGTTCTGGACCTACCTCGTGTTCCAGTCCCGCGGCCACAGCCTCCTGCAGCAGAGTGGCATTAGTGTAAACTGTGGTCTGGTGTAAGCCCATCGCATACTTGAGCAACTCATTTGGTCCAATTGTCCAGCCCAACTTCCACCCTGAAAAAAAATAAAGACTAATATTTGCGACCTCATTAAGAAAGTTGCAATCAGACAGTTGGAAAGTGTTGAAAGCAAAAAAAATATGATTGAAAAATTTTAAATCATTTTTCAACTTTCGAAGAAATAATTATATCATGTTAAAGCTTTTTCTGATTGGTATTTTTTTTCTTTAAGTTATCCAATTTATCCAATACTTTTCCTGCTCGATAATGGAGGTTGCCGTGAATTACAGAGGCGAAGCTTCGCTTTGCAAACACTAGCGAAAAAATGACAAAAGCAACTCTATAAAGTGCAATCAGAAAAAGTATAAAATAAGCCTCGGATTGATTATATTTCGGGTAGGTCTCGAAGAACTCCATCTGTGACCTAAATATAATGTGTCTCACACACTAACCACTCAATCACGGACGCTTAATAGAGCACAAAAACTAGCCATTGAGAACAGATGCTGTGAAATTTTCAATGCTACAGATCGTGATGGCTCTTTTCCACTCCCCAACCCCAAACTTCAAATTTTCATTTTTCTTAGTTGTTTTATGCGTGATTATTGCTAAGCGCGTGATGTTACGCTGTAAGTTATGCAAATTTTCATTATACTATGACAACGTTAAAATAGATTTTCGAAACTGAAATTCAAATGTGAGGAGAAATTGAAAAAGAGCCATCGTGATTATAACGAAAGTGGTTGGATAAAAAAGTAGGTTCTGACTGATACACTGAACTGCCTGCTAGTGTTAACAAAGGAAAAGAAGTGATTTTTACAGCCTAAACATAAACAAAAAAAACATAAACTGATAAAAAAAAATCGGAAAACACTGTCAAGTTAGCGAGGGGGTTGAATCTGTCTTGTTGAACTAAAACAAATTAACATTTGAAGCAGCATATTATCATATATATCCCCTAAATCCTATTATCCCCTAAATTTAGAAATTCGAACTTTAAAATAAGGGGAAAAGTCTTAAGGATCTCATAAGTATTATCAAACGTTTGCAGGAAACAAAATATTAGGTAAATAGGGCGACAGAATTAAAGCCGACAGCCTATTAGCTGAAAATCAGCCAAAATTGCTCGGCAAAGTCTTATTGGGAAATATACAAGTACTACTCAAATAATATCCACCTCAGCCATAAAAATACTGAAATCAAGTCGATATAAACAATTCGGAAAACAAAATGAGAGCTAAATCGAAAGCCGATAAATCATCAGCAAAAAGAGTAATATCGAACCTTATAACTATACATGATACCAATTTATCAAAACGAATGAAGATAGTTTTGAAAAAAAAAACATTCCATGACAAAAGAAGGCGAAAAAAGCATCAGAATAAAATTTACCAAGCGTTAACAAAACAGAAAAAACTTCAGCAGAAGCTAAGCGTGATCATTGCTAAGCGCGTGATGTTACGCTGTAAGTTATGCAAATTTTCATTACTATGACAACGTTAAAATAGTTTTTCGAAGCTGAAACTCAAATGTGAGAAATTGAAAAAAAAGCCATCGTGATTATAACGAAAGTGGTTGGATAAAAAAGAAGGTTCTGACTGATACACTGAACTGCCTGCTAGTGTTAACAAGAGAAAAGAAAAGATTTTTACAGCCTAAGTATAGAACAAAAAAACCTAAACTGAAACAAAATCGGAAAACACTGTTAAGTTAGCGAGGGGGTTGAATCTGTCTTGTTGAAACTAAAACAAATTAACATTTGAAGCAGCATATTATCATATATTATCCCCTAAATCCTCGTCACCATAACTTATAACGTATACCAAGTTTTTCAGATGCTTTTTTCCGAGACGGGAGTATAATTCAAACTTGTCGTATAATAAATTCAGACTTATAGTTCGAAATTAAATACATTTTTTCACACAGAGACGAAGCTGAGCTTCGCACGACTTGCGATACAACAAGTATAGGATTAAACAGCAAGACTTTCAAGAACTAGCAAAGAGGACATCGAAAATCGTAAATCTAGAAGCAATAACTCGAAAAAACAAAAACAAAAAAGAAAACTGATTTTTTAAAGTTCAAATTGGGGAGTTCCTAATGGGGTTAAATTTAGAAATTCGAACTTTAAATTAAGGGGAAGAAGTCCTAAGGATCTCATAAGTATTATCAAACTTTTGCAGTAAACAAAATATTAGGTAAATAGGGCGACAGAATTAAGGCCGACAGCCTATTAGCTGAAAATCAGCCAAAATTGCTCGGCAAAGTCTTATTGGGAAATATACACGTATTACTCAAATAATATCCACCTAAGCCATAAAAATACTGAAATCGAGTCGATATAAACAATTCGGAAAACAAAATGAGAGCTAAATCGAAAGCCGATAAATCATCAGGAAAAAGAGTAATATCGAACTTTATAACTATACATGATACCAATTTATCAAAACGAATGAAGATAGTTTTGAAAAAAAAACATTCCATGACAATAGAAGGCAAAAAAAGCATCAGAATAAAGTTTACCAAGCGTTAACAAAACAAAAAAACTTGAGCAGAAGCCCTTCAGAAAAAAGCCTTAAAAAATCGAGTCCCCTTTCCCATCAGAGTTCACACGCACACAAAAATTTCACGGTTATCAAAAAGTGCAATAGGGGGCCACTGAGTAGATAAAAAATTAGCCGTAACCGATTAACGACGACAAAAACGAAGACAAAAATAATTGAAAAAAAAATCGAGCTGTTAAAATTACAACTAATGTAAAAGACACATTTCGATTCGGCCGATTTTTAAAAATCTCAATACAACAAAATCAACTACAGTGAAAAATGTTTCACTAAAAATAAATTAATCTTAGATCTGGCGACTAAGCCGACATTACAAGAGCAGACAAATAATAGGCCGAAATTTTTCGAACCACAATTTATACCGTTTAAAAAAATAGGTTCTGGTCAGATTCAAACCCAGGTCCTTTGCCTTCCCAGGCGTAATCGTTACCTCCAGGCATACGTGTGCCGTCGTTATGAAAAGTGAATTCGTTATGAACCAAGTTACCACCAACCACCAGAAGTCGATGAGTCCTGTGGACAAAGTTGTTCAGGGGAAAAAGTCTAGCACCAGATTGTAATACTCTGCTTATCGTAAGGGTAAACATTACAAACCAATCATTGGCTCGGAAAAAAAAATATTTAAAAATTCAACTCAAATTAAATTACTGTCTCGATTAAATTGACTGCTTCAAGAAATCTCCTGAAAACGTTTCTAACGTAATTGTTCCGACTATTGAACATGCGCAGAAATTTTGGATTCGGGCGAGTTTCAATTTTGTTCTGTTCTTTCATGCAAAATCAAGTGCCAAAAAATCATCGCAATGAGTCGAGTGATATATCATTTTAAAGACCTTTTAGCGGCGAGTCTAAAAACAATATTAAAATTTCAAAAATTTTTCTCAGAAGTTTTAAGTCTAATTTCGAGATTGAGTCTAATTTCGATTTAATGAAGCAAATATAAGAAGCTTATGGGAGTTTTAAAAATCAAGTTACGCCTTGAAAATTTAGTTATATCCATCACAGCGCATTTTTGGGAGCAAAATAAAAATCATTTTCTACAAATCGTAATCGGATAACACAAATAATAATGGGAATGGGCTGGATAACGAACCATATTCGGGCCCTTTCAGTAAGACATTGAAAGATTTCTAAAAACTTTTTTCCTTGTCGAGAAAAACCGGTTTGAAATTTTCGTTTTCTTATTTCGAGCAAAAAAGCAAACGAGCAAGCTCATAGTAGGGTAATATACTTTTATTTAAAACCGCAAATATTTAATTCAAGTCTAATAAAAAACATAATTTGGCAATTATTTAGCGCCTTCTTGTGAATAAAAAAATCAAAAATTTTTTCCGCCAAAATTTGAATTTTTATCTTCTGTCCACTTCGATTGCCACCTAGTAAGGAACTGCCACCCCTATAATAAACTAATTCAATGGTTACGCATAGGAGCATTTTGTACCCAATAACGAATCTCCCCCTTTGTGCAAAGTGAATGGGGGGTAACTAAAAAGATCCGAAAACTGTTGTCAAATATAGCTATTTTCATGCTATCAAATAAGCCTAAATTCTATCATAGCCACGGAAAATATACGGCACAAATCGAAAAAAAAAACAATTTTTACAAATTGTATTTTTATGGTCACAATTTGCACTTCAACCAGCTATCGTTGTTTTTTTATGCTCAGAAGAAACTGGAAGAAAAAACTTATAGCCAACAAACTTTACACAATTGTAGTTTGATTTTTCTACTTTAGGGGAAAAATTCTGTTTTATACGAATGTTCCTCTTTAGATACAGTTCACATGCCCACTGGCTGTAAATGAGTTTTTCAAAAACTATCCGAGGGCGAATTCCGTTTTTTTTAAACTAGAACTGGCAGTGAATATGAGCTGAAATTTTCTGACTAACTTTACCTGTAGTGTTGAATGTCTTTCCCGCACTACACACAGTCAGAGTCCGTTCCCACATGTCGGGCAAAGTGGCAATCCTCACGTGACTAAATCCTTGTTCATACACCATCCACTCGTACACCTCGTCACTAACACAGATGACGTCATGTTTCTTACATAACTCTGCCACCGCTTCTAGTTCTGATCTCGAGAACACTTTTCCGAGAGGGTTGTTTGGAGTGTTGATCAGGATGAGTTTTGTTTTATCTGTGAAAGCAGCTTCAAGCTTTTCTAGGTTGAGTTTCCAGTCGTTCGCTTTAATAATCCCGTCTGGTCCTTTCTGATCTTTAGACGGGGGTTCAAGTGGTACATAAACCGGTTTCGCTCCTGGAAAGAACCACTATTTCAAAAACATAGCCAATCGAAGATTGGAAAAGAGTAATGAACGCAAGTAAACATAAAAATAACACTGACTGTCTTAAAAAAAATCTCAACTTTCGAAAAAAATAGATGCCCTTTAAGCTCTTTGAGTTTCTAGAACAATTAAAGATTGGTGCTTTGTTGATAACATGAACCCAAGTTAAGAAAACTGGATCAACAGGCAAAGTTTTTATTCCGCTGGAAATCTAAAATTAATCCACTTTCGAAACTAGAAATAGTTCACGTTTTTTCGCGCCACTTCCACGTTCGTATTTGGAGAGTGCTATTTAGTTTAGTCTCTTTCAGCAGATGAATTTCAATTGAACTCAAAAAGTGCATTATACCTAGTGCATCAATATTTTAAGACTTTCCTGAAAAAAAAAAACAAAAAAATATCAGCAAGACCTATATAAGAGATTTCACTACGTTCATTACTCTTAAAAATTATGATCACCTAAATCATTAAAAGCTTTATGGGGTAGCCAACTTCCCATCTCTCAAGAGTTCAAACCATTTACAATTCGAAATTTTCCAAATGCGTTTTGATTCACAATATTTTGGTTCAATAGGGTTTGCAGTGACTTGGAAATTCAACTCGGTCGACCAAGCAATTGATATTCTATCCAAGTTGTCCGTAATTGTTCAATTTAATCACACCTAGACAAAATTCGAAAAGACTTAGAAGGCGGGCGTAGTTCGTAGGTCAAAATAAAAAGCGAGTCGACAGCTGGCAATAAACTGGCTGAGAATAATGTTAAAAATTTATACCAACCTGGAATATCAACAGCTAGTCTCAAATCCTCTTAAAAGGAGACCTCAGATTCAAATCACAGCTCACCTGACATTCCGACCATGACGTCATAGCAGTCAAAAAAGGGTTCCAGAATGATGGCCTCATCTCCAGGACCCAGCAGGGATACTAATATAGAGTAGAGTGCCTCGTAGGCACCGGTGGTTACCAACACCTCGGAGAAACTGTCTATGGATCTAACAGGAAACAGAAAGAAACCATTCAACTAAAGAAACGGAACATGAGAATTCCGAAGCCCGTGAAATACGGCCCAAACTTGGATTTATCATTATCAACAAAAAAAAACGCATTTTAGATTGGAAAAAATTCCTCCAGAAAAAGCAGCAAAATGTTGGTTAACCAAACTTTTAGTTTCCTAGGTAATGAAACTTCTTTAAAATTTTTTATTCAGTGCTTAAACAACCCTTCATATTGTGTATAAAAAGAATTAAGCCAAATGACCTGGTCAGAGAATTTCATATACGTTTTTGAAAAATATGCGAAATACTTAAGGGTTGAAAATTTGTTCTGAATAGTAAAATTCCAGACAGGAAACGCTCCTTGATCAGAATTAGAATTACAAAAAAGAACAAGTTCCTCCCAAGGATTCTCCCGTGAAATACAACAGCTCAAATCACGGATCAAATCCCATGCCTTGGTCATAATTTTCCCCATCCATTAGAAGAGGGAAGGGGTTGCGGTTGATCCAGTTGACTAAGGAAAACAACAGAATCATGCTATCCATAATTATGTTAATATCCTGAAATAGCTAATAATTGGAATTAACTTCAAAACACTTGATAGCGATAGGTTCGCATTGCCATCAATAACCAATTTTTTCCCAGCTGAAAAATAGTCAATTGATAAAATGTCTCCGATTTCTCCCCTGCAATTCCTTACCAACTCTGCGTCCACTAGATAAGCGTTTTTATCCCAATCACTTAAACAGTGTTTCTTATAATAATAAAAAACCCTTACCTCTCCATGTCTTTTCCGTACAAGGCAGCAATAGCATTCACCAATCTAGGATGTCCGTAACCCCTCGTATACTGATGAAGGAAATCATTTTCAGTCGCTTTCAGTAATGCTTCTTTCGCCGCTGCCGGAGGAGGATAGTCCGGGAAACCCTGACCCAAATTACACGCTTTGTGCTTAATCGTCAAGCCCACTATATCTGTCCATACGCTGGGACTCAAATAGGGCGTAACCAAAGGGTTTCCAAATGTCTTCTTATGACCAAGACCTGTAGTTGATCCACTAGAATCTGATGTCATTGTTGTCGATGCTTTCTCAAGGTAGCTAGAAGTTGATAAAACGCGAGTATTCGCGAGTGTTAACTTTGCAAATGAATTCGAGTTTTTCAAAATTTTGCTTGTTAACTTGATTCCAAAGTCAAGGTTGCGAAGTTTCGACGTTGCCATTCGATTCCGCTTTGAATTTCAGAGGTCAATTCTGACGCTTATCAGCTTCGTAGCCATTTTCTATCTGAGAAGTGAATCATTTCAATGCAAATTATTAGACCCACAAGATCTCTATGTAGTGTTTAGGAGGCCTGGTAATATTCAAAGTCTTGAATGAACTAATGCAATCAAGCTCATCTAATAGTTTGTTCATAGTAACTATGTAAAAACTCTATTTAAAGTAGAGCTTGGGTTACACCATTAATGGGGCGTTGAACTGATACAATCGCGAATACAACAAAACCCAGTATTTTTCAACATCAATTAACTATCAAAGAAACTATGTAACCCATAGGAGGACTGACTTCTTTAAGACACTTTTTTCCCCTTCAGCTCTTAGACCATTCTTCTGTTTGACCATTTTTCTGCTAAATCAAATATTTGAAACGCGCTATTATTTAAAATAAGTTCTTACAATTTTTTTTGGAGAACGTCCGTCCCAAATATTTAAAATCATTGTCCTTAAAGCTAAAAAATAATTCTTTGAAATTTCTCGTTTGAATTTTTGTCTTTTTTTTTGTTTATTGCTCTGAAATGAAGTGGTCCATAGCCGAACGTTGTTGAATGAAAAATGCGTTGAAGTTGTCGGATACACGTTATTCAAAAAAGAATTCATTGGAAAATCACAATCGTTTTCCATAACTCCGTCGACAGCTCATAAGGCAATTTCGAGAACTCATTTCCAGTTTCAACGCCATTTCACTATCTCAAAATCAGAAACATTTCCGCAATTTGAGACTTGTCTAACAAACGTGAAAAAAAATGTACGCCGAGGCGATGCGGATATTCGCACCACTTGCGGTACATCACAAACATAAAAAACTTAAGTCGAAAAAATGTTTCAATACAAAACACTAGGTGAACCAAATTTTTCGAATGTCTCAGTAAAAAACAACTAGAGGCCGAGCTAATGCTGGAGCTACGTGTTTGATATTGAATGAACTTGCTGTACTGATGCGGCACCAAAATTGTGATTTCACTTTGCCCAAAACCTTAGTTGTTTCTACTAAAATAACTTAGAAGACCAAAAAACTTCGAGACAATCAATTTTCTCGAGATAACATTTCTCTCACAAAAAATTAAGGAGTCGCATCTTTTCGAGAATTCAGCCAGCATAATCACAAACAGTTCTTTCAGTTAAACTTTTCATCTCAATTGATTGCGCAAATTTTAAGAAAATTCAAAAAGTTTAGAAAAAAACGGTCAAAAGGATTTCCAAAAACCAGAAATTTTTTTCTGCAAAACGCATGTTAGGACCGCTTTAGCAGAAAAGATTCCCGAAACCGGGTCTCTCGATTGAACACAGCACGAGTATTGGCACGGAAGTTCAAATTCAAAAATTTTCCAATAAACTGTCAAAGTTTCGAAACTTCGACTTGTGGTTGAAGGCCAAAACTTTTTGCTTAAGCAAATTAGGCAGAGCCAGTTATAAAGGAAGGCTTTCATCAACCTGTTACATTTTCAAAAACAACCTTTAGCACTTCCATTTGTGGAAGAGCCTAGCCGAAAGTGAAGAAGAATTCTTCTGTATCTTCTATAAAATAAAAAAAACAAGGGTTGAAACAAGGGCGAAATACTTAAGGGTTGAAAATTTGTTCTGAATAGTAAAATTCCAGACAGGAAACACTCCTTGAGCAGAATTAGAATTACAAAAAAGAACAAGTTCCTTCCAAGGATTCTCCGAGGAACCCTAAATCAGGGATCAAATCCCATGCCTTGGTCATAATTTTGTCGCATCCATTAGAAGAGGGAAGGGGTTGCGGTTGATCCAGTTGACTAAGGAAAACAACAGAATCATGCTAAATATATTTATTTTAATATCCTGATATAGCTAATAATTGGAATTAACTTCAAACACTTGATAGCGATAGGTTCGCATTGCCATCTATAACCAATTTTTTCGACGGACAGCTTCAGGGCAAATAAAAAATCTTTTCAATTTTTCTATATTTTATATAACACAAAAAACAATTTTGCAAATCCAATTGACGGAGAGCTTCAAAACAAATAAAAAAAACCTTTTCAATTCTTCTTTATTTTATATAACAGAAAAAACAATTCAACCAATAACACAACATGACTGATCGCCCTCTACCGTCGGTTTTCGCTTAATTTGATTCACTTTTTGACCCCTAGGTTTTATTTGATCCTTAGAATTCAATGCTGCCGTTATCGTTTTTATTTTCGCCACTGGAAAATTTTCATCATAATGACTTGTCTCGGGTGCCTCTGCGGACGGAAACCGAAGCAAATAGTCTGCCATTCCCATTTTTAACCCCTGTCTATGTTCAACTTTAAAGTCGTACGGCACTAATCGATCATACCATCGAGTTAATCGGCAGAAAAACGTTTTATTTCCTTTCGGTGAAGAAATTAACAATGTAAGTAGTGCCTTGTGATCCGAGATAACAGTGAAATAACGGCCATTTATATAATTTCGAAAATGTTCCGTGGCCCACACTACCGCGAGTAACTCTAAGTCATTGGTAGAATATTTTTGCTCAGCCGGGTTAAGATAACTGGACGCAAACGAAATGGGGTGCCAACCGGAGGCGTTATAATGTTCTAACACTGCCCCTAGGCCATCATGGCTAGCATCACAGATGATCCTTGTTTCACGGTGAATGTCGAAGTGTCTTAGTTCGACAATGTTTTTAACTAGCGATTTTAATTGTTGAAACGCTTTTCGCAAGCGGGCGTCCAGACAAAATCGTTATTCTGACTTAGTAATGGTCTTAATGGTGCGCTTACTTCCGCGAGTTTTGGCAAAAATTTATGTAAACTGTGCATCGAACCCATTAATGACTTCAATTGCTTTTTAGATTTTGGGGTTTTCAGATCCTCTGCCGCTTGTGTTTTTCTAACTAGGGGAGCGATGCCATTTCCCCCAATTCGATATCGAGCCACTCACACTCGGTTTTCGCAAAATCACACTTTCGTAATTTCAACGAGACATTAGAAACGTCCAGTTTTTTCAATATTTTTTCCACTAACGCAGAGTGTTCAATCTTAGTTCCTTTAGAGGCAATTAAAATATCGTCGATGAACGCGTTAGCCTGAGGGAATTCCTTAAGAAAATTATGAATAACTTTTTGAAATTCCGCCGGCATCGACGTAAGCCCGTAAAATACGTTTTTAAAACGATAAGTTCCCGTGGACTTCCCGCCGACTAGTGAAAAATTGCACTGCTCGCTTGTCTTTGGTTCTAATGAAACTTGTCCATACGCATATGTGAAATCCAACGTTGTAAAATATACGTTTCCCGCTTTCCTTTCAGCAATTATCTGAAATATTCCGTCTACTAGTTCGTCAATATTCGGCATTTGGTACTTATTCTTGTGTACCTGCCTGTTCAGTTCTCTGGATTCCAATGCTAATTTGATACTTCCGTCTTTTTTACTGTGATTACTATAGAAGATACGAAATACTTATCGGAGCACTCTTGTAATTTTACGACATGACCTTCGTTTATCAGCCGATGAATTTCTTTATCTACTTTGTCTTGAAGACTGATAGCTTTTGTTGTATCGGCTTCAGGTTTACTTTAGCGTTCCGGATGTTTCCTATTAAAGTAAATAAATTTGGGTACAACTTACAGAAATATGTCTGCAACTCATCGTACTCCTCCTCTTCTTGACTGCTTCCTTCTCCTGTGATTCCCATCATTTTCTTCCTATGCAATAACTCCAGGCCTAAGGTGCCCATTAGATCACGCCCCAGGATTGACTGATGATTTCCAGATATTACTGACACTTGTGCTGGTGCTGCCCAACCGTTCAACGACATTGTCACTGCTACCTTCCCCAGTATGTTTATTCGGTTGTTGTTGTAATCCACGAATTCATCTATTGAAGGTTGTAACTGATTATTCGGTTTACGAAATGTTGTTTCCAGGTCCGTCATGCTAAAAATCGTCACTGGGGATCCGCTATCTATCCACAACCATATTTCTATATTTTATATAACACAAAAAACAATTCAACCAAATACTTCGGAAAAAGGATGATCATTAGCAAACACAGTCTCCTAGTTATCATCATACAGCCCGGCTAGCTCAGTCGGTAGAGCATGGGAATCTTAATTCCAGGGTCGTGGGTTCGAGCCCCACGTTGGGCGAAAAGTCTTTATGGTATTCAAAAAACAATCTTTTGCGAATCCATTTGACGGAGTGCTTAAACGCAATTGAAAAAAACCTTATCAATTCCTCTATATTTTATTCAACAGAAAAAACAATTCAACAAAAATTTCGGAAAAAAGGGTGATCATTAGCATACACAGTCTCTTAGTTAACATCATACAGCCCGGCTAGCTCAGTCGGTAGAGCATGAGACTCTTAATCCCAGGGTCATGGGTTCGAGCACCAAATTGGGCGAAAAAGTTTCATAATCTTCAAAAAAAAAACAATATTTTTCAAATCCAAATGACGGACAGTTTCAGGGCAAATAAAAAATCTTTTCAATTTTTCTATATTTTATAAAACAGAAAAAACATTTCAACCAAACACTTCGGAAAAAGGATGATCATTAGCAAACACAGTCTCTTAGTTAACATCATACAGCCCGGCTAGCTCAGTCGTTAGAGCATGGAATTCTTCGGGTCGTGGGTTCGAGCCCCACGTTGGGCGAAATTTTTCTATAATGTTCAAAAAACAATATTTTGCAAATCCAATTGACGGAGAGCTTAAAAGCAAATTAAAAAAACCTTTTCAATTCTTCTATATTTTATATAACAAAAAAAAACAGTACAACCGAAAAATTCGGAAAAAGGATGATCATTACCAAAAACAGTCTCTTGGTTATCATCAAACAGCCCGGCTAGCTCAGTCGTTAGAGCATGGAATTCTTCCTCCCAGGGTCGTGGGTTCGAGCCCCCCGATGGGCGAAAATTTTTTATAATGTTCAAAAAACAATATTTTTCAAATCCAAACGACGGACAGCTTCAGGGCAAATTAAAAAAATCTTTTCAATTTTTCTATATTTTATATAACAGAAAAAACAATTCAACCAAAAACTTCGGAAAAAGGATGATCATTAGCAAACACAGTCTCTTAGTTATCATCATACAGCCCGGCTAGCTCAGTCGATTGAGCATGGGACTCT